ATCCTTGCAACAATACGAATCTATCATAAAAATATGAAAGTGGTATCCTCCCGATTTCTATGTGAAAAAATTATTTTTAGCACTTTTTTATTTTTGACGGTTACATTTTGCAAGAGAAAAATTTGAAAAAATTCTCAGCATGTTCAGCCACACTATGAACATGTCAGAACTTTCTCAAACTTTTCGCAAGGCGCTAAATAAGGAAAAACCTCAAAAAACTGATTTTTCGAATTTTCCCGATTACTACCTCCCTCCCTGGTTGAGATATAGGGCTACAAATTGGAGTGAATGTTTCTTTTTTGATAAGCTACCGAATGGCGCACACGGCGCTTCATTCGGCTCAAGGGCACATTTGACCTCCTTATCTATCTAGGCCCTTTGGCTGGACGGACCAGTTGACCGCTAGAAACAATAGCGCAGATAGTACTCCAAGTAGTATTTATTCAAGCTTACTGCGTAGAAAAACCGGAATGGTTCAAAGATATTTTTCTTGACGTAGCCGTATAAGTGCCGAATAGGAGATGTCGGACCTTTTTAAAGAAAACTCTACGATGTAATTGATGCACACATGTATGTATGCATTATTCGAACGTTTGTAATTGAATATTGAAGTTAATCACAGGCATTTATTACGATACATTGTTGGTGAAGAGAGTGTTTTAAGAGAATAAATTAACTGTCGGAATAAATATTAATGTGAATTCGTAATGTTGTTTTGTTGCGTTTATTGCGGTTCCAATGACAGAAAATTTAAGATATTATTCTAAAGAGAAAGAAAAATGCAAGTGTCCATAGTAAAGTGACTATGGTGTAGTCAAGTACTTCAAGCTTCTGGAACCTCCTGCTCGCGTCGGGAATCGCTTCGATCGGGCCTTTTACAATTTTACGAGCGTTCAGAGCAAGTACTTCGGACACCTCAACCCAGTCTATAAGTGTCATATCAAATGAAAATTCTTCTAAATCCGTAACATCCATACGATTCATGACACTCTTCAATTTATCCGCTGTTATAATCCAAGATGTACTTATGAAGTAATACAACGCACGAACCTGCACGGTTGCCTTTGATACTACCTTCAACGCCCTGAACAAAAACATAAGTAATAGTTGTATATATAAATACGGATAATAGCTGATGCATCAAATATACTTAACTTAATCGAGTCTGCGTAAATGAAAATAAAATGAACGTACTTTGGTTTCTTCGACTGGATCATTAGGACCACATCAGCAATGATTGCAGGCAACACGTGGAACAGCACGTGAAGTACAAGAAAGACGTAAATATTCCCAACTAAGAACATGAATGGATACCAGACAATCTTTGATGACGGATACTTCTCAATTGATTTGGTATATTTTGGACAGTCTGTATGAAACCTCATAGGATTCCAGTCAGACGATCCACAATTGTACTCTTGCGGCTCATTCGTTTCCCTTAATAAATGCAATACGATTATCAATCAATAATCGGTTTTCTTTGAAGAGACACAATAGTAAGGACTGTAAAATCGCTAAATAATGGTACCTGTTGACAGTGTAGTCCCAGATCGCTGACAAAAGGCCGTTAGTCGCCAGGTCGACTGGAATGTAGTCTGATATTACACCCGGTTCCGCAGGCACTACGTGCAACAAGCCGAAAGCCTGCAGTGCCAGCAATACCACAGGACCATACTTTGTGTCTATCCATCCACGATAAGGTTCTCGTATCGCAATTATAACTGTGCAAGAAATTCACTATATTATACGCATTGTAAACTGATCGTATCAAGACCAATATTTAATGTTATGCAACATTAAGAACATGTAAATGTATGGAAATGAAACTAAGAATCATCGCCTCATCAAAGTTCAAGTACAAGACGATGTAATCGTACTTATAGAAGGCCTGTAGATTATGCACGGAAGCGAACTCTGCTTAGCAAAATCCTCGACTACACCCTCGGCGACGGCTTTGATTCATAGCACGCAACTTGCGGAACACCTGAAATATTTTTACGAGATGCGTTATAACATTTATGTGTGATCATGAATTATGTTCTGGGTCCAAGGGATGAATTTAGTTAATTCCATGACTCGCGCAATTTATTTTCAATTGTTATTTTAAATTGTAATCAGAATGAAGTTTATTAAAATATGAATTTTATGCTTGAAATTTTATGTTGATATAAATGTCCCTCTGTTTAAATGTACTTTGGTTCTGCTTTTCTAACTCGGAATTCGTATTTGTTCATCGCTTGTTAAATTTTCGTAATATCTCTATTACGTGATAATGTCATTAGAGTATGCATATGCATTCGTAATTTATGAACAGTCATCGTTCCGTGATGTCCTTTTGTCCAAACTTAGCCAGTGGAATTAATTATTACTGTTATTGACACCAGTTGCCGTATGCCCCGTACAATTTTAGAAGAGAGTTGACTTGAGTGGGTAAGTGAGTAAAGTCAAGTTGTACTTTTGAATTTTTATGTATTACTTTGAAACCGCTGACTAGTCAGTGTTTAAGGCATTTTTTCTGAAAGGTGTGGCAAACGGACTATTTTGCTGACGGAGTGTCGAATAATTCAGGTGTTCTAGAACGTTTTTGCAATTAGTTGGGATGACAAAATATTTGTTGGTTTCTATCATAGGCTAATTTCGTTTTCATGAGAACTATTACTCACGTCCTTCTTGAAGGACCTCTCCATTCTGTGACCGAATACTCCGCTGGCGTTTTCGGGAGGGAGGAGTTCGTGTCTCCTAAGGAGGAGGACTCGCAATTGAGGGGAAATTAGAAGTCACTCAGATTAAATAAAATGGAAGTTTGATGTATATTTAACATAAAGAAAGACGACTAGGTTTGCAAGTTTGCAGTCGTGAGACACGCCTTTACAGGACTAGAGGCGGTACGAATCGCAGAGGAAACCGCATTTTCAATTGATGCCAGACCGGTGACTTATTTAACAAACAGAATCGATCGGTGCTCGCGATTACAATATATTCATGGACAGTTCGACTTACGGTCGGAGCATACCAGTCTCGTTATTTCGTCTTATTTCCTATTCCTTTGACTCGCCGTGGCCACGCACACACTTATCCAATCACACTTGTAACTTATGATTCTATCTACGACTGCGAATATTAGCATTCGCAGTTATCCATGCGATATCTGAATTTTAACTGTTCTGGACGGACTTCGTTCTCTAAGTTTCGTTCTCTGATCTGACGCGACGTTATCTCTTTGGTATACGAATTCGGAGTTATACTTTCGGTATCCTAACGCGAAGTGATCCGTCGGTTACGCGATCGATCGTCGATCCTTCGGTTACATAATCCGACGGAACCCGCGCGTGCGTAAGGTCCTCGGACCTTCTCGAACGTTCTCCCGTGAGGGCATATGTAACCGGTACAAGCGGGAAATTTGTACGGTTACAATTCTTTCCTGCATGGAGAACCTTTCTTCTCTCTGGTCATAATGTAAACATTGCCAATGTCGGTGCACGTCCTCAGGAGCTTCTCCAAGATGAGGCTGCCGTCGAAACCGGTGCACCCCGTGAGGAATACGTGTTTTCTGGCGTAGAAATTTCGTATCTGGCCATCGCTCTTTTTCGAATCGCTCGTCACATTCATCTTTAGAATATCACTTCTTTCTGTGCAGCAACTAACGCTTGTGCTTCTTGTCGTCACTTGACAAAATCTTGTTCGTCGACTTTCTGAATGACGCTACTTATATGGCACTCGGTTCGGCGGTCAAAGAAATGCGTGATCTCTTTGTTTCCCTTTACACGTGCTGATTAATAAAGAAAACATTGTTGCATTTGATTTGCATTCGAACAATGGATATTAAAGAAAATTATTATTGAGCCGAATGACTAGAATTCATTTTCTAGCAGTGGCACCGCCGAGGTTAATTGCACGACTTTACGATGAATCTACTTAACTCGTTGCCGCACCATTTAGATAGATGTCAAAGCGTGGTAATGAAACCAGTTATATTCCAAGACACATTTAGACTTCATTACTTTATGTAATTCTTTCTTTGATTGCTCAACCATTTCTACACTTTCGTGTTTTATTTACTATTCATCGTGGCTCACGATGTTTCAAAATCGCGGTCGAGTTAACCAGAAACTACGAGATCGGCCATAAAAAAAAGGTCTAGCAGGTACTTAGCGGGTGGCGGACCCGCACTTTCGCGCTAGTCTGCGGAACGAGTCGACGGACCCTTCTGAAGCCCCCGTGCTTTTACATGGGTTTCCCTATACTTTCAATCTTTTACTACGATACTGTAGGCTACGCCGGGGCATCTCTTGAGACCAAAATTTTACTCCCTACCACGTAGAATTTTCACTACGCTTACGGTAATGTGAACAGTCTTTCACTCATGTTTACTGCGTACAGCTAATAACAACAAAACTGATCCAGCTATATGCATGTGTTAGTTTCTCCTAGGGAGCAAAATTCAACACGAGTAATAATAAGTGTATTATTATATTTATATTTTTCGTCTTATATTTTCAATGCTCGATCGATACTGTTTGACACGTCAAAATAGAATCAAAGATTGTCTGGCATCTATTCATGTTCTTAGTTAGGAATATTTACGTATTTTTTGTACTTCACGTGCTGTTCCACGTGCTCCCTGCAATCGTTGCAGATGTGGTCCTAATGATCCAGCGGAAGAAACCAAAGTACGTTCAATAACAGTTACACAGACTCGATTCAGTTAAATATATTTGATGCATCAGCTATTATCCGTATTTACATATACAACTATTGCTTATTTGTTTGTTCAGGGCCTTGAAGGTAGTATCAAAGACAACCGTGCAGTTTCGTGCATTGTATTACTTCATAAGTACATCTTGGATTATAAAAGCAGATAAATTGAAGAGTGTCATGAATCGTATGGATGCTACCGATTTAGAGGAATATTCATTTGATATGATACTTATAGACTGGGTTGATGGGTCCGAAGTACTTACTCTGAACGCTCGTAAACTTGTAAGAGAACCGATCGAAACGATTCCTGACGCGAGGAGGAGGTTCCAAAAGCTTAAAGTACTTCACTACACCGTAGCCACTTTACTATGGATACTTGCATTTTTCTTCCTCTTTAGAATAATATCTTAACCGTTCTGTCACTCAAACCGCAATAAACGCAACAGAAGAACTTACGAATTCGCATTAAAATTTATACCGATAGTTAATTTATTCTCCTAGAACACTCTCTTCACCTCTCTCTCTTCATTCTCAACAATGTGTCGTAATAAATGCCTGTGATTGACTTCAATATTCAATTACAATCGTTCGAATAATGCATACGTACACGTGTGCATCAATTACACTGTAGATTTTTCTTTAAAAGGGTCCGACACCTGCTATTCGGCATTTGCACGGCTACGTTGTTATGTATACATCCCTGTATATGTATACATCCCTGTATATGTATACATCCCTGCGCGTTTCCAGAACATTCGTTGCTGATCACGTACGCATCCCTCGCGTAGGTTCCGCGCAGATTGAAAAGTGGTGGGGGCCGCAGCGAACGTCTCAGGCCTCCCACCATGAGTTAATCGCCACCTCATCGATCACGATTCATTGTACATAGTAGAACAATAGGACGGATGAATTGGCAGGATAGAGAATTATGCTCCATTTGCACATTGTGCACGTTGTTCCTCCATTGCTAAATGTTCAATAAACCATATAATAATTATCAAAACGAATGTTCAATGTTCGGGAAAATATAAAAGTGTTGACGCTTTTCAAAAACTGTCACAGTACGCCCTATAGGTTGTATCGTATGATGCCGCGTGACGTCAAAACAGACATATGCGCATTTGCTTGCATTGGGAAGTGGTAAATGGGAGGGAGATTGTTATAATTGCGGGTTTAATTATACAGATTATAAATTATTTGATGAAATAAACTTGGATACACTTTTATTAATTCAACAGCGCATGTTTCATGCTGTAGATATACATACGTGACATGGAATATAACATAGATGGAATAACTATAGAATAGAATGCACAACCATAGAATATATAATATGAAGTACCAAGATTACATACTCTAACACGCCCACTTAATCTAGGTTCTAGACTAATTTTTTATTGTTCCTAAACCTAGACCCGTCGTACAAAAATTATGTTTAACTTTAGGTAAACTTTTAATGAGTATATGAGCTATCATTGAATCAGTGCTTTTATATCTAATAGTTAACAATTTTTCTTCTATTTGTTGACGCACAAAATGATGACGCACATCGATGTGTTTAGTTCGCCTATGATGACCAGTACTCATTAAAAGTTTCTGTGCGCTCTGGTTATCATTATACAATATGACTTCGCCTACTTCTAAACCCAATTCTTGTATCAGGTTTCTCATGAATAATACTTCTTTGGCAGCTTCACTTATTGCCAGATACTCAGCTTCTGTACTTGACAAAGCAACCGTCTTTTGCTTGCGAGATTCCCAATTAATGATTCCATTGCAATATATCATTGCAAAACATGTGTAGGGCCTTCTATCCGTTAATGAACCAGCCCAGTCGGCATCTGCATACATTTCTAAATTCGACTTTCCTTTTTGATAAGTCAGACAATAATTTGCAGTACCCTTTAAGTATCTGAGAATTCTTTTTGCAGCTATCCACTGATAGTTTTTCGGCTTCGAATTATATTGACTTAATACACTAACAAAATGAGCTATATCAGGTCTACTACATACTGCTAGATACATTAATCCTCCTATCAATACTTGATATGATTCATTGTGAAAGTCTTCATTATCTCTCTCATTTAGGTCTTCCTTCACAGCCATAGGAGTGGCAACTGATTTGCAATCAGTCATGTTGAATTTACTTAGTAGTTCCTTGATATACTTGACTCAAACTTGTAGTTCCCATCTCCCGGTTTCGAGTAATTTTCATACCCAAACAATTGGTTAACTCTCCTAAATCTCGAATCTCGAAATGTTTCTTTAGAATCTGAGCAAGTGTACGTTTCTCTTTCTCATTATTGCAAAAATAAAAGATATCGTCAACGTACAGGGCTACAACAGCAAATACCCCATTAGTATTCTTTATAAATACACAAGATTCACATTTACTTTGTGCATAACCATCAGAATACATTTCTGATCTTCTGATTCCATGATCTACTTGCTTGTTTAAGACCGTATATTGACTTCTTAAGCTTGTAGACTTTGTTTTTACCATCGTTGACAAAAGACTCTGGTTGTTCTAAGTAAATTTCTTCAGATAAATCTCCATTAAGAAATGCAGTAGTTACATCAAAGTGATACATCTGTAAATCTTTACTCGTTGCTAGTGCTAATACAAATCTAATAGTTGAATGACGAACCACTGGTGCAAATGTTTCTGTACAATCTATACCATATTTCTGATAAAAACCTCTTGCAACCAACCGAGCTTTAAATCTCTCAAATTCACCATCTGGACTAAATTTTACTTTGAAAACCCATTTGGATTTAATGACATTTTTGTTCTGTGGTCTGTCAACTATTTCCCATGTATCATGACTTACCAGTGAGTCAAATTCCTTCTTCATGGCCTTCATCCATTCTTCTTTATATTCAGACTGCATGGCTTCATCCACAGTCTGAGGATTATCGAATGACTTGAGTACAGCAAACGAAGTGTCATAATCAGCCATCCACGTAGGTGGACGACGATCTCTAGCTGGCCTTGTTCGAACCATATTGTTCTCTTCATCGTTATCTATTATATTTTCAGATATTGATAATTCATGTACGACATCATTCGAGTGAACTATGTTAGTGTCAAGGCTCGGTATAGATTCTTGACTATCATGATCTACA